TTTTTATGTAAACATCTAGTCAATTTCACACATGTATATATAAATGAAGGAAAAGTTGTGTGAGTAACTTGATATGATTATGAGCAATAATTTGTGCTCGAAACGTCGTCAGTTAATATCACTGTGTGATAGGACGAATTTGTCTGAAGCCCCAGTGAGAAGTCGTAACCAGTGGGATCCACCATGCCGGAAGTGATAACAGATACTCGCCGTCAATACTGGATGCTGGTCACGCTAAAATCACAAACTGGTAGAAGTTGGAATTTATGAGCCACTGGATTGGGTATCCTTGGTTGAATGGTCTACGAGCTTAAGTTGTAACCGAAAGATCTTGGGTTTGACAACCAGTGGGCGAGTATTGATGAAGAGCCCCAAAGTAGGACAAAAAGTTGTCCGGTACTTCCTGACCTCCCCTATGGTTCTCTAACTGATGTCAGCCCTTGACCAAGCTTGAAGTGATTCGATTCTTTACAGTCTAACTGTCGAAAGCAGCTATTTTGTTGATGTACTGAGTTGTAAGACGCCGTTTAAAAGATGAAAGCTAGGTGATGTATAGACAAGACTTCATAATTACATGTAAACGTTTAGATAAAAAATGTGCGTATATATATGTATATGTTTAACTGTAATCTGATGACGATGAGCACGTAGCTATCTAAAACTGATTACGTTGATTGAAATCTATCCGGAAACTGTACATTTCTGACAAAGCCCCGCTAATCATTTATTTGCATTCCCTGTGTTCTAAGTGAAAAATGAAGCTTCACGCTTTCTGAATCTTTAGTATCACTTGTGTTGTTTTTATTGGGTTGCGATGTTGCGCTATAATCCAACCTTTACCCCTCACTGGACTTACTATCATCCAGTAAACTAGATAAGTTTTAAAAGTGACTCGACCATGACTATTCACTTGGCTCTTGAGTATTCTATCATTGAACCACCCATTCACTATTAACTACTGCTCTTACTACAATTATAGATTATATGTAAGAAACCTTCAGCCACAGAGAATTTCATACATAGATTTTGCGCTTACCAGCAGTGATTACGCAAGTTTCGAATCGGAAGGAAACTTAGGCATACGTCAGGTTTAAGGATGCAAAAGTACTACACGAAAAATTATTATTAATGAAGTAGATTGTTTGGAATTTTAGAGTGTGTCACATTTTTTCATATGTATATATATATATATACATATACGTAATACAAAAACTAAAAAAGACTTTTCACAACTTTGCTATGCAAATCTACTTCTACTATTATTATTTTCATTTATCGTCTGTAACATTGTTTCACTTCGACAGGCAGATGAATCAATTGATTTTAGGCGTTCACTTTGCATAGAAGCAACAAAAAATAAAAACGAACAGTCAAACCAAATGAAACAATCGTATTTCCTACGAGCAGGATATGACTTTTTATCCAGATTTCAAAAAGCACTAGGTGAGAACTATAATACTATTATTATCATTATTATTCTCAGATCATACAAGTGAACATTCAATAATGTCATTTCGATATAATTTAGTCAGCAAAAACATGGAATCTATTAAGCAGAAAGTTGAGAAATTTCTTTCGGTGTAGAAAAGCATTCATTGACTAGAGTGAATCGATCATATGTCATTATTAATTAATCTACCCTCACAAGATTACTACTACTATTTTCTATGGGATTTCACGATAAAATTTAGAGTGTTATAATCAAAAAATAATACTGTGTAGGCAATTTTCAACAAGGAAAAAAATAAGAGTAGATAAGATATAAACAAGTAACTATAATGATAAATTGTATGCAGAAAAAAGAAACTATTAACGCGAATAAATTTAAAAATCAATCCTGTGAGCTTCCTTAACCTTAAGACAATTATGGAAAAGTTTCTTCTCCTTCCTTTGTTGTTGTTACTGTTAGCACGTTATGGTGAATTTTACTCTGTTCACAGTTATTTTCTAAGTTTCTTCTCTCTCTCTCTCTCAATCCCTCTTCAATATACCCTAAAGATTATCTGTCAACCAATGAAGTCATTAACAGCCAACAGGAATAAGTGTGACATTATTACAAGAATTGCCAGACAAATCTGAATCAGATTATTAAAGGCTAATGTGAATCTCTGAAATAAGAAGCCAAGGATTTTTTAATTAATGCTGTGACATACAAAATAAGTATGTCAGTAACTGTACTGAGACAGTGTTTCGGGTTAAGAAAAAGGGTTGAAAAAAGGTGATGAAGTATGCTTTACTCTACAAGATTTACATTCTGTGCATCAGTAAAACGTAAGACAAGATTATTTTATGCAAACACTCTTGTCGTTTGTGTCCCACCGTGGTCGTGAGTTGAAAGGAGAAGCTAGTGTCAATCTTGAAAATAAACAAATTATATATTGATTGGATACCAGCTAGAGAGTAATGTCATGCGTTTAGTTCTTCGTCCGACTGAATTCTATCAGTCAGCTTTACATTATGGTTACCATGCAAGGTGGGTCACCATCACGATGCTCTCTGAATCGCTTTTAGACGATTACAGGCGATCGATAGGAAGCCGTGAACCTACATTTTTCGATTTTAATTATGTGTATAAGAGGTAGATAACTAATCATTTCGTCCATTTTTGATTTTTATTTTTTTTTCCTCGCCTCTGCGTTGGGCCATCTACCTTCTAATGAATTCATGCAGTTTGCCACATTCGCACATATAAAAAGGCCACACACACTGTCGTTGAATTATGCGTTAATAAAAAACAAACAATGAGTAGCATAAAAGCAATAAACGAATTAATTAAAATCTTTTCATGTTAGCTAATCATATATGAAGCTAGCGCAAAGTAAATATATATATATATATATATATATATATATATATAACAGATGGAGGACCGAAATAAGAAAATTATACCTAGATTAATTTTCACAAAACAGAGTCGACTGACTGGTTTTAACGTAGAACTTTGCACAGATGTACAGCAGTTTGAGTTGCCATACTCCCTCCTTGTAGCACGCAAAGTAAGAAAACAGAGTTAAGACAGGTTCAAAAGAGAGATAATAAACAGAAATGTGAGACAAAAAGAAAAGTAATATCGAAGAACAATATAGTTTCATTGGAAATTATAAGTCACAAGGAGTGGATGAGTCTGCGCCACTGAGAATGATTCTGAGCCATATCACCAACTGTCTCCAACCATTGGTTTCTATTTTCCCGAGGACCCCAACCAGGAAGTCTGCACTTTCCTACGTGGCTGGCTTAAACTAACTGTTGTGGATTTCATTGACTGATGAGGCCATGTTTTGGTTTGACCACCACTAGCTCTTTTTCAACCTGACACTGTGTCAGCTAATATTGGCCTTCCGCCGAGGAAGGTGATATCTAGGTACGTGTAACATATATCCTAACCACCTGAATCGGTGTAACTTCACAGCCCCATTGATTGATTACCCCTCCTTACCTTTCAATCCACACCTAACCTAAATATTACTCACCTATTACGCCACTTAACGCGGGTGACAGAACGAAGGCACATATGATCAAAGACAGCTAGCTGGCCTTCATTGGCCATGTCATACAGCCATAAAGGAGGACAGAGCAAACTGCTGAGCAGTTCACACGCCCTTTGGTTGACAACCAGCCGGATATCACGTCTACTAAGCTAGAGATGACTTAAGTTGGCATGTGCCAAACGAGCCTTCTGTATCCGTGCTGAAATTTCGTCAGTTATTAACCTTCTGGTGTTGGCTGATGCAACTTTCCAATAGTGTCGAAATATAATTTACATCAGGAAACTATGAAGATAAAAACAAAGTATAGGTAACAAAGCGAAAGGACTGGAGTGAATGTTAAATAAAATAGAGTATTGAAACAATGAATACGTCTGTTTATATTTTCAATTAGTCGAGTTATTTCAAGAACTTAACTCTATGCTGAAAAAGTTAGACTAATTCATTTAATTTTCCGCCTAGTTAGTTATCTTGTTTTATTCTTATACATAATCAATACTACAAAAGTTTAATCCCTAAAGAAACCTGTTGCAAAAGATTTTAGTGTTTTAAAGGCTTTATCTGATCACTATTATTATACCGATTGCACAGGCACTCTTCAATACTACACGGACTTCTAATATGTTGTAATTCATCGGTGTTGACTATAACGGTATACCTCTTCACCGATCAGCTGACTTGAATATAAACAAGACAAAAGAAGTATCCAAGTCTTCGCAAAATTTGCTGATTCTAAATAGCGGAAAATTAAATTTCAGTTTACAGTAATAAAAATGGACGACTGGGTGTAGAATAAACAGCTATTTAGTGGGTGGATTCACATAGGAGTTATTCAGAATGCAGCTCATATAGTCACTCATGTAATATATATATATATATATATATATATAAAGCTCTTGAAAAATAACGCGAGGTTACAAGTGATTTTCTGTTGGTATTGAGACAGATTTAGTCAATTCAGGTGAAGTTTACTCCAAGCATGAGTCGGTATCTGTTTCGCTTCACTACAACTACTTCTTTAATACTTGCTTTGAGCATTTGTATATTTTCAGTTCCTGTTCTGTCGCATAAACTACAACAGAAGTAGACCATGTCTCAGCCTGAAATTCGCTGACCGAAATAAGAGAAAGAATCAATTATTAGCATATTCTTTAAAAAATATCTAATAAAAAGCTTAACAGGCAGTTGATGCAGCTAGTAAACCACGTTTCGTGTGGTAATCAGTTGAATAATGATTGAGCAGCGAGCTTGTACACTGCTAACAAAATGTACCACCACTAAGCTAAAGAAATTTTTTTCTTTTAAATTTAAAAGTAAAGTGTAACTGAGATCTTCAAGCTTGTAAAAATATCTAAAGTTCCAGTTTCTTCCCGACTGTTAACAGAATTATAAATTAGTTGATAAATAATCACGTTTGTTATAGGATCACTTTTTTCTCAAAGCTATAGACTCCTTAACAAGATGTTTTATTTGATAATTCTTTAATTATAGCAGGAAGAATTCATCAATTCTTACCTGTAAATTTGGTAGAGCATTCATTTCTTCCAACAGACACTGTGCCATTGGAAGATTTAGTCTATTAACAGCCAAATGTAAGGGAGTTTGCTGTACTGAGTTCCTTGAATTTATATTGGGAATATCTTCCCTGTCGAAGAGATTATTGTCGTCACCTGCTCCTAGAGAGTTATCATCCAAATCAACAAGATTTCCTTCAGTTATGTTATTCTCTTCAGAAATATCCACTATTCTTGCCACTCTATCAATGTTTGATCTCATCAGGTATCTTAAAACATCAAGATTTCCACTTCGTGCTGCTGAATGTATAGCTTCATTATCTGCAGAATCCAGATTTCTTCTTCTGGCCCCATTCTGTAGTAATAAAGTAACGCATGCTAAATGGCCTTCTTCACAGGCCGCATGAAGGGCCGTCAGTCCACCAGATGTTCCGTTTACCTGCACGAAAAAAATTTACCAAAATTGATGAACTGTACTCAGGAAAGATGAATGAAATCGGTCTTCAATTTACACAGTTAAAATACAGTAGCTAAGATAAGATCCTTTTTGGTACATTAGGAAATATCAGTATAAGAAAAGATTGGGAGTCATTCAAACAGTTCATCAAAAATCAGGTTTCATTATGATGGATCAGTTTGGAGAATCGAAACAATGAAATCCTATCCAGAAGTCAAATGTAGAAATAATTTCGGTACAATAAACATGCTCATCATGACGTTTTCACTTTGTCATGATTATGCATAAAAAGTTGAAAATGACTCAGGAGAGATCTGAAGAAGTAAAAATAACATAGCGATCGTGTATGACTAGTGGTTAGTTTTGAAAAATCCTTTGTGTAAAACAAGACACCAGGTTGAATGCCTTTTAGTTGTCAAGATTATTTTAAATTTAAGCATTTATACTGCCAAAATAAAATTATCTTGTGTTTTTAAAACTTACAACAATCTTTTCTACCGTTTCCCATTTGTTCTTACGATATTGTTTACCTAAGTGACAGAGAATATGAAAAGGAGAACTATGTGTTGTTCTCCAAGCTCCCTAGGAGATTCAGACCGCTGTTGTGCAGTGCCAAAACCAAGGCCGCGGTCACTAAGGCTAACTGGATCATTTATTTTACTTTACTTGATTCAATCAACAAAGTTGAAACAGTTCCAGGGAATCTAAAATGACCCCTTTCAATTGGATATCGAAAGCCAGAGAGTACCAAAAAGCATTACTTTTCTTGACTGTTAAAGTCATACTTATCAGCATTGATTGCAGTAAATATAACTCCATAGCCAATCACCAACATTTCTAGTTGTAATTTCTACTAAAACACTGATCTACACCAAAATGCATGTCAAAATTCATAATTTATTAGTGTTGCTAATTCGGAATCACACTATATCACATATGATTTAATACTCAAATATGTGTTGGTTTGAAGTTGTGCCTTGAGAGTTTTTTTAAAAATATTTTCACACCCCTTGCCATTCTATGCCAAATTCAAAGTGAATCCTATTCTCTGAATTTGTTGAAGTTTTTATCTCCAAAGTTTAATAGTATTCTCGTTTTGGGTTAGAGTATTTTGTAACTGAGATATACCTGCGTCAGCAGTAATCTGATCTTAATGGAAAGGTGATATTGATTCAGTTTGTTCTAAAGATCTTCATGATCTGATTACAGAATGAAACAATTTAAAGCTACCAAACGGACTTATCAGTGGTGCGCGAACTGGAAAGAAAGAATATCATATATATATATATATATAATGGAGACCTGTAGAATTGATTTTATGGAAGTTGCTACAATATACACTCTTCTGTTTCCAGGGTTACAAAAAGAAACACAAGAAATCAATAGTGAAGTATGAAGAAAGTAATCTATGTCCTGATAGCAAATGTTTATGCATTAAAAAGAGTTCGTCAATGAATACCAGAATATACCCTTTCTTTCATTTATTAAGAGCATATACTGCGGCAAATAATCAGACATATATACACATTTCCTCATCTTTTTTTCTTCTCCTGATACTGCTTCAAATGTTGATTTTATTACTTTACATTTTTCCAACACGTTACTTTAATTTTAAAAAGTGATTAGAATCTTTCACATGTTACACTAGTTGAGTAATTAATTGTCATTCTAGATTACGTTTTCTCTTCTGACTGTAAGTTCACGTATGTATTTGCGCTTTTTTCCTCTTTTACATAATGTTTGTAGAAAATCTGTATTTCAGTAGACAATTTTGTGCAGTTCATTTTTACATAAACTGAGTTATTCTCAACTTCACCGCTGACTCAAATCGACTAGTCTCTCATATCATAAAAGTCGAATTGCGTTCTTTGATAAATGTATTATTGAACAAGGTTTTTGTTTGTCTTTTTTTATTCATACACTTAAATTTTCTATTTACCTTTTAATATTCTGTCAAGTTCTATTTATCATTTGAGTAAACAGATACAGACAATAATTAGTAAAACATTGTAATGAAATTTTCCAGCCAATAACTAATTACATAATAATGACCTTATTTTTGGTCTAATACAGACTCTAAATCATATGCAACTGAGTTTCATTTCACAGGCTGTTTTATTACAATTATTCTCTTAGGTCCCAAATGGGTGTCAACAGCACATCTCCATTTCTTCCTGTTTTCTGTGGTCCTCTTCAGCTGGTCCCGAGAATGATCATATGCTCTTATCTTCTCCTCACATTGATCATCTCCATGTGACCCACAGACACCCAACTCCTCATTTTCTATTTGGGTTCCACTTGACCACCTGACGCATGATATCACTCCAACTTGTCCTCAATGTGTATCCAATCCACCTCGGATTTCATCGGTATTATTTTGGGTAATAGAAAATTAGTTCATTTACAAAATTCCTTACTGCTAATGCTTTGTGGCCGGTCATCTAATCGATATTAAGCGAAGGCAGCTGTGGATAAAGGTCAGAAGTCTGTACAGAGTGCTTTGGTTGATGTGCCAAGTCTATGAAGCATACATGAGAACTGACTTGAAAAGCCGAAAAATGTTCTTTATGCCTAGTGAAGCACATTTCCACAGTGATTTCAAAGTAATGAAGGTTTGACTTGTTTGGCTTTGACGTCTCTTCATCCATGACACATAATAGCCGAAACAATACTCCTTCTATAAGTGAGAGTGACCACCTTCACTGAATTCATTTTGTTGATAATTATTGGTGCTTGTCGTTGTTAATTAGGTATCTTCACCATAGGATATTTTAACTGTGTTAAACTAATTGTTACTAAAATAATTACGCTAATTATTCCGTGAACCAAAGTCAATGATAATTAATTTACCGGAAAAAAAATGATATTCATTTACTGCTGAATATTAAACCCATTTAATTATTTTGGACAATTTCGAAAAAAAAATTACATTAGGTATAGAGTTGATTACTTTAGGATAACTTAAGTGATATAAGTCAATCAGTTGCGCATGTGACACTAACTAATAAATAACATGTCTTTAATGGCAATTTAAGTGGAATGACGGTAACTTTCTAAATGTTCCAACAGCTGAACTTGCAATCGCGTCATAATGCAGACAAACACTGAAATGTAGAACAAGTATGTGCATCATTCCGGCAGGTACGTTAGACCTAAGCTCATAAGTATGATTTGTTCAAGTGGCAATTTTCTATTTTGAAAAGAAATTGATATCCTGAAGAATATATTGTTTTGTTGACTACTATCACTTCTACTTTTTAAAGGTGGTGGTGCATTAGATAAAGGTTTGTTTATTACTAAAATGTACTAAAACATATTTATAGTGTGTTGTTACTGAGGTCAGGTATAGCCCAATCCGGGATACACAATATTTTATGAAGGTGGATGAAGCGAATAATGATACGACCACTTTAAATCGAAAATATTAAATTGGACAGCCGAATATTTCTAGTGACTCCAGATGAACTATACCCCTTTTATTTATTTAACAGTTGAAGTCAGCACCAAGTGATTCAGAGTATTTCTAGATCAAACACTTCTGGTTATGACTTGTTTGTAAAAAGAGAAGCTTCATTTCTTGATCACTGATTTAGGAATGGCTTTCACGCCTAAAAGAAGAATAAGAATTTCTTTATCTTAAGTCGGTTTTCTTTGTCATTTTTACTGGATTAAAAGAAATTCTGTCAACACAGAATAAAGATAGTGTTACTTCTTTTAAATGCAACTTGTCATAGTGAGCAGAAACCCCATGTCAAATATACCGAGGAAAATTTACTGACGGCCCAACGACTTTCCAAATTACCCTCCATTAATATATCTGTTTAATGTTCCATATTTATGGCGTATAATTCACATTGCTGAATATAAATAACGATTTTTTAACCAGTCAAAAAAAAAGGTTTCATCATATGGTTGGTGGTTTTCTATATTCTGATATCATTTCAGTCAGATATTCTGGGAGAAACACATTTTTTCCCTGACCTATGGTCACTGAAATAAGTGATCAGTCAATGCACTTAATAGATGAATTAGCATCACTCTCGTTTTCGCTTATCGATTAAGTAGGTATTCAGTTGTATGATAGTAATACAAACAGTTTAACGATCTTAACACTGTCTTATACTAAGAATGATCTGCTAGCATTAAACCTTTATTACTGACAACTCACATCTGCATTTTGATGTTGGAGAAGACACCTTAAGCGATCTACATCTCCATCTCTTGCTGCTTGAATCAGATCTTCAGAGCTATTATTACCACTTTGAGCAGTTGAAGTATCTATAAAAAACAATATAATAATCAGAAAATTAGTTAAAATACAACATATCACATAGATCGAAAACAACAAACGCATCTTAAAGGCGCTTATACAGTTAATTAACATCATCTGAAAATTAAAAGTAGCTTTTGTAAAGATACCGGACAGTAAAGAAAATACTTTTTACGATTTCACTTCAAAGCCGTACAGTTATATAGTGTTATGGAAACGCGAATAAAGAAATCGTACAACTTTAAAAGTGTGCGTCGGTGGCACAGCGGTTAGGACGCTCGCCGACCATGCACATGGTCCGGGGTTCGATCCCAAGCCGACGCACTCCTTTACCTCGCCAAGCCAGGAATACAGCTGGTGAAGAGGAAAGGTTGGGCATGAGGCTAGCAACCCCATCCTGTAAAATTAAACTCTGCTACAGAAACTTCAAGCTACTAGATTGAGGCCCTATGTTCCGGTGGGAACATGAGGGAAAGAAAAAAAACCTTAAAAACCTTGCGACAAAGTAGTTGAAACTCTTCCAAGCAGATTATCAAAGGTAGTTCGAAAAACACTACCAACCACATGTCTTTGTCACACTTTCTTCACACAACCACTTGTTAATCAAAATGTCAGGGACAGTATCCCACTTTCAGCAACTTCCATGTGCATATACCACTTCACTTGTTCTTGTGGAGCTAAATATATCGAACATACATGTGGGATATTGTCTAGATATGCTCAAGAATATCTCCCAATATTGTGGCCGAAAAATGAAATCGGACGTACCAACAACTGAAAGCTTGAGCACCTTGATCTTACATACCATCTGAAAGAAGTAGAGGAATCTTTCAAAATAATATATAAGGCAAGGCCACATCGTTCGAAGGGTTTCCAGTTACATCTTTTGTTCACAAGTAAAGCTGTTGTTGTGCAAAATGTAAGTCCTGAACTGTACATACAGAAGAGATTTTTCCGATCACTTTTAATGCCATGGTCTTAAACCTCTTTCTAATTTGTAAAGTTGCTCTGTATGTAATATATATTTATTCGTTTTTATTTCTTTTCAAACTCTAAACTTTATGCATATTCTGAATCGCTTGCTTGAATGAACAATATTTTGGATTTCAAGCACTTGCAGTTTTCTATAGTTGGTTTGTAAGGATTAGTTTTGTTTATACGAGTTTGACCACGGATTGATATCAGTTAGAGAAGCATTGAAAACCAAGGAGTACTGGACAGCTGCTGTTTCATCCTAGTTTGTGAATCATCGGAAGTACACACCCACTGGGATTCGAACCCAGCACCTTCCAGTTACAAGGCGAGCTCGTATACCATTCAGCCACTGGGACCCGATTCATTGGCTCATGAATTCTAACTTCTACCAATTGGTGATTTAGCGAGACCCCAACCATTGTCGTCGGTGCGACATCCATCCACACACGTGACATCTAATTGGACCTCACTGGTCACGACTTCTCACTAGAACTGCAGGAAACTCCATCCTGTATCAAGTCACTAGCGAGCATCAGATTATTTTTCTATAGTTTGGTTTGTAAGGGTTAGTTATGTTTTCACGAGTTGATCACGGATTGATATCAGTTAGAGAAGCATTGAAAACCAAGGAGTAATGGACAGCCGTTTCTTTGTGGCCAGTGAGGTCCATCCAGTCAAGTGTGAGGATGGATGTCGCACCGATGACATTGGTTGGTGGTTACACTAAATCACGAATTAGTAGAAGTTAGAATTCATGCACTGGCCATTGAATCGGGTCCAAGTGGCTGAATGGCATACGAGCTTGTCTTGTAACCAGGAGGTCCTGGGTTCAAACCGCAGTGAGTGCGTATTGACGATAATTCGCAAACTAGGATGGAACAGCAGCTGTCCAGTACTCCTTAGTTTTCAATGGTTTTCTAACTGATATCAATACGCGATCAAGTTTCCGAGCAATATTCATTACTGTGTCTTTAGATTAAGTAAGACTACTAGACTAATTTCCATAATTTGCTAATTATTCCTCGTGATATGTAATTTCATATGTTACCAATTGACATTAACAATTGCCCTTTGTAGGCGTTTCCACGTCGTTTTAGAAAGCTACTTACTTGCAGATCTCGGAAGTGAAGACAAAAAAAGAGTATTCTTTGCTGACGTATGTCTTTTTTACTTATATCGCATGGGTGTTTTTCATTCTTTAAAGATATAACAACATAGTAATAGTGGTCACTTTGGTCCTTTAATTTCCCAGCAGTACAAAGAAATAGAAATACAACTCAAGAGATCATTCATCAATTGGGTTGACCATGAGAACTTCACGTTGGGAACTATCAGATTCAGCAGTGAACACAATAAAAAGTTAGGCATATTATAAAGTAACTTTATCTTTTAAAGAATTTGATCACATAAAGGCATATAAAATCCACAGTCATTTACACATATAAAACCTAAAAGCTTAGTAATGGCCAAATGTCTTCAGTGATACTTGGAAAAATGTTTTATTACAGCTTCTGATTTTGCCACAGTAAGAACTGGACAAAGTAAAAAATTTTCAGGAATACTCAAACGGTTATGCAGATCAATGGTTCTCAACATAGGACTAGAAATCTAAGTTCCTACATGAATCAAGCAATTCAGGAAGTAACTATAGAAATTATGAGAGATACGATTTCAAGTGAATTTTACACCTAGAAGATAAAATCAATTGTCCTTAATACAGAAATAGCACTATCACGGGAAAATAGGTTCAACGGTTCCACATTTTCATTTGCCGTTTTTGAAGGAAGAAGTGATTTTTTACACGAACACTATACAAACAAATCGCTGGAAAAATAGATACGGTGCGAAATGCTTACACCAACAAACTGCATGTCGTGACTAAAACACCTCGAAAGACTGATTTTAATATCGAAATAAGTTACTTAAATATAAAGGAAGAAGGAAAAAAACATAAAAAGAAGCGATAGTACTAGCAAGGCACTTTATAAGATTACCAATGGAAACAAAATAATGGATCAAAAGATTCATTTAGTGGTTTCTTATCACTAATCATTCTTAAGTTTGATATAGACGTGAAATTTTGTGAACTCGAAATATTAATTCTCTAAAAACTGCTGAAATAGGCTTAGGGAACATGTGCAACCCAAGGTCCAGCATACATTAGTTAACAATTATTTTAACTCGGAAAAATATTAAAGCAAAATGTTTGTTGAGTGCTTAAAACAGGATGAGCAGAATATGTGAAAAGTCACGCAATGCGACGAGACCGGAGACATTAAGACCAACAAAAATTGAAAAACAAAATAATTGAGAAAAGAGTATCCTTTTCGATAAATTCTTCATCTGGCTCTACAATTATATATATATATACGTTTATATACATAGATTATTCCAGATTAGTAGTCACTAACAATATTAGTGTTGAATAGATGTGCTCAAGGAAATCTAATAAGTGTCCCCCTAGGGGTAATTGCGTAAGTGCTCTTAAATAGATAAAATAAAGCAAAGTGTTTGCATCAAATATCATTCATTTAAGGTGCCTAAAACGAACTCTGAAACAAAATTAATCTAATCTATATTATCATTTTCAGGACTAGAGAAGAATGCGATACGCAGTTTGTACGTATGAGTTAACCCGAAATCATAGATGCTAATAGAAGTCACAGTAGAGAGAACTGCAAGAAGCAAAGATACCTAAGTAATGTTATTACTGTTTGGTAGATTACTAAAGATTTCCTTTAACTGAAAAAAAGCTTTAAGAGGCCAAGAACATAAATCGAAGTCTTGGTCTTTAACAATCCGAGGCGAAGAAGCGAAAGTAATTAGGATAGCTGAAAAAATATTGGAAAGTAACAAATCATCTGTCTCTGTCTGTCTGTTTTCGACATAGAACTTTGCACAAATGTGCGGAAGTTCAAGTCGCCACATTCCGTGTTGCACGCGAAGCAAGAGAAGAAAGTACAAGAAAAGCATAATAGAAACAGTGAGCAGAGGTGTGAGACAAAGGAGTAATAAAGAAATACAAAACAGTTTTATTGAAGATCATAAGTCACAGGGAGTGGATGCATCTGCGCCACTGAGAACGATTTTGAGCCATGTCACCAATTGTTTCCAACCATAGATTTTTACCGTCCCGAGGACCCCAGCCTGGAAGTCTACACCTTTCTACGTGGCTTAGACCAACTGTTGTGGATTTCATTGACTGATGCCAAGTTTTTGTTTGACCGCCGCTAGCTTTTTTCCAGCCTGACCCTGTATCCGCTAACATTGCTCGTCGAGGGAGGCGATGGCTTGGCATACGTAACACATGTCCTAACCATCTCAGTCTTTGTAGCTTCACAACTTCGTCGATTGATTTCCCCTGTTTACCTAGAACTCTACGCCTAACCTCCATGTTGCTCACCTTATTATGCCACTTTACACGGGAAATAGAACGCAGGCACCTATGATCAAAGACAGCTAGTCTTTTCATGTCTTCCACTCTCAGTGGCCAGGTCTCACAGCCATAAAGGAGGACGGAGCGGACTGATGAGCAGTACACCCGCCCTTTGGTCGATAGCCGAATATCTCGTCTACGTCAGAGACTGCGTAAACTGGCATATGCGAAACTAGCCCCCTGTATCCGTGCCGAGATTTCATCAGAGGTCAACCCGTTGGCGCTGGCTGATGGTACTTCCCAAATAAGTGAAGTGGTCAACGTGCTCTACCACTTCACTTCCTATTTTTAAACTAGGCGTCGATGTAGTCCAGTCCTGTAACATCATCTTGCATTTGGCGGGAGCGAATCGCATGCCAAACATTCGTAGATTGCGACTCAAGTTGTTTAGAAGACTCTGCATTTCGTCAGCGTCTTCGCCTAGAAGGACTATATCATCTGCATATTCCAAGTCAACGAGATTATTCCCCGGTAGCAAGTCAATTCCTGAGTCACTGAAGTCACCTAGGGTTAAGTCCATTAACACATCTATGATGAAGTTGAATAGAAAAGGAGATAATGGGCATCCTTGACGGACACTACTGGTCGTCATCAGTTCAGATGACAGCTCGCCGTATGCCCTCACCTGGCTGTATGAGTACGAATAGAGTGCCTTAATCAGTGCAATATACTTTCTCGGAATTCCCTTTAAAGCCAAGCATCGCCAGAGAACTTCCCGATCGACAGAGTCGAATGCTGCCTTTAGGTCAAGAAATATAATGACTGTTTGACGCCGGTAGGAATTCCTATGTTCTAGAATCTGTCGGAGGGTGAAGATATGATCAATACACCCTCTTCCTGGTCTAAAGCCTGCCTGGCTCTCTCGTGTTTGTGCTTCCCGAGCACCACTTAGTCTACGCATGATTATTGAGCCTAAGACTTTAGATACTATATTAGTCAAGCTAATCCCTCTGTGATTATCACAGGAAGACTTGTCTCCCTTCTTGTATATGGGAATAATCAGTGACTTACACCAACCCAAATCATCTGGCCATTATAGTGCAGAATCATATCAGGTAGTGATCTTTATGAAGTATTTACGAAATGAGTGTTGACTTTAAGGAAACAAGCAGTAGATTTAACAGTTCCTAGAGATGAAACCTAGAAGCATCATCCTGTAGCGCAGAAAGGCCTGGAAGCTAAGTGAAGACTAATTTTTCATAAATCAGAAAAAAAATAGCCTTTTCCTCCATTTTAATTGATTCTTTCATGTGAAAAATGCACTGCATTCAATTACTTTACCACAAATCATCTAAGTGAAAAGCTCAATTATCAATTTTAGTAACTTCATAACCCAGGAAATTCTCATATTCATTGTCTTGATGATGAAGTTTGTCAGAGACTGATCTAAAGAAGACTTTTTGTCGTTCCTGTGGAAAACGTCATTATTTAATAGTATCTGAATGTGTCTTTTACGGAAACAATGCACGTAACATCTAAGAAGAACTTATTCACCTTCAAATCTTTCCCTCATTTATATTAAGGATTTACAATGGTTTTTAGTTTCCAACTAAACATTAACCAGGTCATTGTGAAGGTCGTGGTTCTTATAGCTGATTGTTTAGAAAACTCCAAAATTTCCACAGCTGCCATTTTTCCAAGTTGTAATAATCACATGTTTTATTAAAATAATTGAAGTTGATGACTGAATTACAATGCTTTGCAGTCTACTTTTAACAGCTTGAAAACTACCCGTCAAATCAATATACCAAATCAAAATTCAGCTTTAATATCCTGGTAAAGAGACTCACTTGCTGATTCAAAGTTTGCTATTTGTGGTTCGTCATGAAAGCCTATAGATGTAGATGTGTCGAAGGGATTCTCCGAGAAAAATGACTGTGTGTCGTCCGTGTGACTGCGATTTATCCGTGTAGCTGGTTCAGAATAACATTGTATGGCGATAAATTGTGTTTCAGAACTATTGTCTTCTGTCGGAACTCCTTCTGATATGGCTGAACGTGTAAACATGAGCTCTTCACTAGATGATGAATCATTGTGTGCCACACTCCTCGAAGGCAAAGCAAGGACTCCGTCACGATTACTGATGGCAACCTGTCATGAATGATTATGCAAAAATAAATACTTTGAAAAATGTCAAACAGATAGTTTTGAAGTAAATGATAGAATTTACTTATTGGGTTTTGTGACGATCAGTGCTGTATAAGGGCAGTCTTGATAATGAAATAAATCAGTTCAGGAACTATTTCAAACCTCATAGAGGTAAACAGGTGTTTCATATCCTCGTGGAGGACCTCAATTAGATTTTTCGAATGGCATTCCACGTGAATTTTTAAAGTATTAAACACTACAGCGCTATAGCTTTTCATGTCCAGTTTTCTTCGGGTTTTCACAGCTAATTTCGTTTTGCAATCAAATCTACCTTTCAATAAAATGATTGTCATCATGAGTCAGAGCTTTCTGATAAAATGAAATAAAATATTTCTGATCGGTAAAATTCAATAAGATTGAAAATGTCAGTAATTACCGAACATTCTAAGGCTAAGTAAAGATGTAAAGAATCTTGAATATTTCTTAAGAAAATGAAATAAATATAGTGAGAGGAAATTTGGTGCATATTTGCTGATAAAAAGTTATTCATTATATTGGATTGTATCCTCAATGACCAATCATTATTATTTTATGAGTAATTGAGTAATGAAGTTATTTGGAAAAACGGGAAATAAACGCAGCAATGAAGGGAACATATCCAGCCGTTAGGTGAGCCTCAATCTTTCTAAGGAGTGGCAAAAAGGAATATTTTCAGATCGATAAGCCCGCCGTCCGCGTAATCACCGACTATATGCACTGATATAATTTGTTGGAGTGCGGATATTCAGGAGCAGTAAAGAGAACTGTCCACAGTATATCTGAGCATATTTCACAGAACTTGTGACTGATATGTGCAAAAGACTTGAGCGATGTGATCACTCAGTATGTAATGAATGACAATCATGTTGATTAGTGAAAAAGGTGATTCCCAGTTAACTGCATACTGCATAAACAGAAGTTTTCAGACTATTTGGACTGAAGTTTATATTCAAAAATAAATTAATCTTTCTCCACCATGAGGAAATATTTAGTTTTCGTTTGTTTAATCATATTTATTTGACAATCCTTTTACACTCTTGATTAAATGTGGTAAAAATACTTATATATATATATATATATATATATATATATATATATATATATATATGGTTAGCGAGTATTCTTTTGATGCAAAATTACAGTGTTGGTAATTTGAAGATTATTATCTCCCAAGCATGACTAAGCAATAAGTATCAATACAGGGCGTCTTATTATTGCATTCACCTAGTCAGAAATCAATGCAATATCATTATTGTCACTGAGGATAAATGAATAGAAGTACTGTGTTGATGAAGGAAGTTACCACTGTTACCACATGACCAACCTACTCAATAAAAATAGAATATTTCAGGATTTCATCATGAGCTGACATTAGTTAGAGAACCATTGGAAAACCTGGGAGTACTGGACAGCTGTTTCGTCCTAGTTTGGGACTCTTCAGCAGTACGCACCCACCGGGATTCGAACCCAGGACCTTCCGGTTACAAGGCGAGCTCGTATACCATTAAGCCACTGGGACCCGATCCAATGGTCCTTGAATTCTAACTTCTGCCAATTCACGACATAGCGCGACCGCTAGCCAATGTCTTCGGCGAGTATTTGTCCTCACACCCGACCAGCTGCACCCTACTGGTCACGACTTCCCACTGGAACCCAGGTAACTACCTACCTGAAGTGCAGCTGGTCGGGTGTGAGGACAAATACTCGCCGAAGACATTGGCTAGCGGTCGCGCTATGTCATGAATTGGCAGAAGTTAGAATTCAAGGACCATTGGATCGGGTCCCAGTGGCTTAATGGTATACGAGCTCGCCTTGTAACCGGAAGGTCCTGGGTTCAAATCCCGGTGGGTGCGTACTGCTGAAGAGTCCCAAACTAGGACGAAACAGCTGTCCAGTACTCCCAGGTTTTCCAATGGTTCTCTAACTAATGTCAGCTCATGATGAAATCCTGAAATCAATCAAATCCCTACAAACCAACACTTGAATACCAATAAGATGCTCACTGGCGACTGGCCCTATTCAGGTAGGTAGTTACCTGGGTTCCAGTGGGAAGTCGTGACCAGTAGGGTGCAGCTGGTCGGGTGTGAGGACAAATACTCGCCGAAGACATTGGCTAGCGGTCGCGCTATGTTGTGAATTGGCAGAAGTTAGAATTCAAGGACCATTGGATCGGGTCCCAGTGGCTTAATGGTATACGAGCTCGCCTTGTAACCGGAAGGTCCTGGGTTCGAATCCCGGTGGGTGCGTACTGCTGAAGAGTCCCAAACTAGGACGAAACAGCTGTCCAGTACTCCCAGGTTTTCCAATGGTTCTCTAACTAATGTCAGCTCATGATGAAATCCTGAAATCAATCAAATCCCTACAAACCAACACTTGAAAAATAGAATATAATATTTTTTTCATCGTAAAACTAATTTTAAAAAACAATTTATTTTAAATTGCACTACAAAACAACTTTGACAGAAGTGTTGTAAACTCTTTTAAATTCATATTTGAACCAGATGACAGCCTTAGGTGACGTTGGTTCCACTTCAACAAGCATCCATTTCATATCGATATTTTGAGGGGAAAATATTTCCGAAGTGAAATAGATTACTTCATTAGTGATGCTGTCGATCTAGATATATTCTAAAAAACCTCCTACGCTTATAATGCCGTTCAGTTTTACTATTACACTAAACTTTTTACAAGCAGCTTACATACTGAAGTTACTTGGTGACAATGATAAACATTTCTGAGAAATTTATTATTAATTGACTTTAGCTTAGATATTTATGTCCGCTTGTAATGTGAATTTGATAGAGGTTTTCATAAAAAGACTCAATCACATACACACAAGCTCTGGAGTATTGTTTAGCTATATTTGAATACTCTTTAGAAATATACGACCACCAAGTCTACTGAGGCCAGCACTAATTACAGATCACTTTAAGAATATTACATTTCAGCTTATTCAGCCTCTCCAATTATCATATGAACGAATCAATATAAAGAATAAGTAGCGGGTTTTAGTGATCATTTATGTACACAAAATATTTCTCTTCAAAACAAAGCTTAGAATTATCTTTGTGGGATGCGGTAAATTTAAACCCTCATAAAAATCATGTTTGTCTCCATGTATCAAGATATTATTTTGTACTGATTTTGACTCTATTTTATGCACCATGTTATATGGTAATTATTGTTTTGCTTTTTAAGCTTCGAAATTTCAAGGTATACGCTTCATTACAAAGTTGGATATTCTAGTCAACACTAACCTGATTAGAATTAAAGCTGAAATAACACCACATAATTTCATCATACACAAATCTATCTGAATAATTATATCGTAATTTTAAACTACTGAATATTAGTTAGTAATTCAAAACATTTGTACAATGCTATCCTTTCACTGTTAAATAAAACCTGGCAATGTAAATAGTATTAAATACTTACAGCCAACCAACAGGAAGCTCTAGACTTTTTTTTATTTTTCCTGAGATTTATCAGCAGAGAATATTTACAGTCTTGGGGTAAATCATGTTTGTTTTCTAAATCTGCATCTAGTTCATTGTGCTGAGGCCAGGCTAATCTACACATGTCAGAAGTGAGTAATACACACTAAATACTGGACAAATGGTATCTCATTTAGCTATTCTTTACTTAGTATTGTTCAGAATGTGTCCATGGATTGTGTAGAGTATTTAAATGACATCATTTCTGATAGGTCGGAACTATGAAACACACGTCGCAATGCTCAACATCTTTTTGTCATATAGTTGAGTAGCCACATCACATACGTTGTTTGTTGATTTAGGATTGTCCATATTATGGAATGAATGCCAGTGTTTACCAACTTGTGACTAGTTTATACGGAGTAAAATTTATATCATGGTACTAGAAACTTCAAAGTATTTTACAGCACTTCCTGTAGTAACTGGGTCACGTGTTGGAATTTCACAACACCTCGTATTACCAATCCTAACACGTTAATTGTGGATCTTAGCCTGGTACATGAAAAATCTGATCCGGGTAATTGAGACCACAACAGCAAGCAACTACAGTGAACACATTGCCTGATCGGTTTTACATCTTATAGTCAGAAAATGAAAATCACTTAATTATACTGGCAACCATCGTCCATACAGTAGCACAAGAAGATTTTCTTGAATTAAAATTCTCTTTGGTTACAGGATTTCATCATGAGCTGACATTAGTTAGAGAACCATTGGAAAACCTGGGAGTACTGGACAGCTGTTTCGTCCTAGTTTGGGACTCTTCAGCAGTACGCACCCACCGGGATTCGAACCCAGGACCTTCCGGTTACAAGGCGAGCTCGTATACCATTAAGCCACTGGGACCCGATCAAATGGTCCTTGAATTCTAACTTCTGCCAATTCACGACATAGCGCGACCGCTAGCCAATGTCTTCGGCGAGTATTTGTCCTCACACCCGACCAGCTGCACCCTACTGGTCACGACTTCCCACTGGAACCCAGGTAACTACCTACCTGAATAGGGCCAGTCGCCAGTGAGCATCTCATTGGTATTAAAGTGTTGGTTCTGTCCAGTACTCCCAGGTTTTCCAATGGTTCTCTAACTAATGTCAGCTCACGATGAAATCCTGTAACCAATCAAATCCCTACAAACCATTACTATAATAAAATTCTCTTTTGTAGGTTTTTTGTTCACACAAGGATTATGCAGCTTGGTAATATTGTCAATGAATGTTGTTATAGTATTGTCCTACTTTTTACGCCAGATTCTATATTAGTCTGTCTTCATCGCGTATATTTTTATCTTTATACTCCGTTTAAGTATTACGAAAGATTTACTTTTTTTTCTATATCTACTTTTTCTTTACCTTACGTCAACTTGTATAAAAAAAAGCAAAAGTAGTTTGTATAACTCTTATCCGCAACACTCTAATATTAGTTTTCACTAACCTTAAACTTTTTTGTGAAGTGCCAACCTGACCTATATGG